GGACGTGAGTGTGCACATGCGTGTGTGCGCTTGGGTGTGCTGGTGTGTGCGCGTGCATGCGTGTCGGTACCGGGACGTGTGTCTGCATGCGTCTGCGTGCATGCACCTGTGTGTCTGTGCGCATACATATGTGTGTACGTGTTGGGCCCCTCACTACAAGAAGGACTTTGAGGTGCTGGAGTGGGTCCAGAGAGAGGCAGCGAAGCTGGTGAAGGGTCTGGAGAACAAGTCTTGTGAGGAACGGCTGAGGGGCCCGGTAGGAGGAGGCTCAGGGGAGACCTTCCTGTTCTCGACAACTACCTGAAAGGAGGTTGTAGTGAGGTGGGGTTGGTCTCTTCTGCCAAGTAACAAGTGATAGGACAAGAGGTAACAGTTTCAAAGCTGCGCCAGGAGAGGTTTAGATTGGGTATTGGGAACAATTTCTTCACAGAGAAATCAGACATTGGAACAGGCTTCCCAGGAAAGTGGTGGAATCATCATCCCTGGAAGTGTTCAGAAACCATGTAGGTGAGGCCCTCAGTGACATGGTTTAGTGATGACAATCCTGGGGTAACAGACCTGATGATCTTAAAGATCTTTTCCACCCCCGTTGATTCTATGATACTATGTGTATGTCTGAGCATGCACGTATGTGTACATGCATGTGAGTGTGTGTGTGTCTGGATGAGTGCATGCGTGTGTGCATGCCCATATGTCTGCATATGTGTGTGTCTGTGCATAGGTGGGCATGTCTGTCCATGTGTGTGTGTGTCTGTGCATATGCATGTGCATAAATCATTTAAAAAACATTCGCTGCAGTTCCTGGGAGCAGTCGGAGCCCTCCTGGGCACACACGGCTGCAAGCCGGCATGTTCAGCACTGTGCTGCCAGCCACTGCAATTGCTCTGGCTGCTTCAATAAATGTAGTCATTTGTAAACTGAAATGCACCAACTGGAGAGTTGGAGGTGCCGAGCAGGATCCTTCCCGGGGAGGCCTCATGCTTGCAGGAGCTGCTTCCCACCTGCCAGGGTTGGGGGTTTATTGCAGTTGAAGGGATTTGTGGCAGTGCAGCAGCTGTGACATGCAGGAGCCGAGTGTAATCCGGCCTGTGAGCCACTTCCCCACACAGGCTGCCTCACTGTGTGCTGCAGGCATGAAATCCCACCACACTGAACTGCTGCCCTGGGTGGTGGGGATCCATGCTCCAGCTTCCATCCCTGCACCCCATGGCCACCACCAGCACTCCCAATGGCTCAGCACTCACCCCAAAACACCTGGAGGGCAGCAACAGTGCTTAGGGAAGAGAAGGCAGCTCCCATGAGCCACTTGAGCCCCCTCAACACATATCCCTAATGTGCTGATGGCACATGTGCTGGGCAATGAAGCAGTCAAGCAGCCCTCTCCCCAGGTGTCTCCTGCCCTGATGAAAGCCCGTTTGCCACCCAGCTGCCTACCTCCCCACCACAACAGGTCCCACGCTCCATCCCAGCAGCCGTGGTGGGCTCCGCATGATGCTTTCAGCTCTCTGGACCATCTGTCCTTGCAGCATCCCAGGGTGACAGCCTCTGGGCTGTGGTGCACTGGGTGCCTCCTGCTAGTCCCCTGTCCTCAGGACACAGCATTCTCAGTGCAGTAGCAGCCAGCTCCCCCAGCACCCTGGGTCAGGGAGAGCTAGGCAACCATGACCAGGCCAAACCTATGGGGACATGAGCCCTTGAAGAGTTGATCCTGCTGCAGGATGGTGCCATTAACCCCCATAGTGGAATGGTGGTTTAGCAGAGGACTGTGCAGCATTCAGAACTGCCCGAATGAACCCAACTGCAATTATGTGGAGGGTGCCAATAACCTGCAGATGGCTTTGATTGACTGAGCAATCCATGAAGATGTTCCAAGGGCTGGAGCACCTCTGCTGTGGAGACAGGCTGAGAGACCTGGGCTTATTCAGCCTGGAGAAGAGAAGGCTCTGGGCAGACCTTCGAGCAGCTTCCAGTGCCTAAAGGGGCCAACAAGAAAGCTGGAGAGGGGCTTTTGACAAGGGCAGGTCAAGGGGGAATGGCTTTAAACTGTCAGAGGGGAGATTTAGATGAGATCTGAGGAAGAAGTTCTTCCCTTTGGGGGTGGCGAGGCCCTGGCACAGGTTGCCCAGAGAAGCTGTGGCTGCCCCATCCCTGGCAGTGTTCAAGGCCAGGTTGGAACAGGGCTTGGAGCACTGCCACTGCCACCCCAAGCTCAGCACCCACCAGGGCCTGCGGTGGCTGCACTGTACAGCTTGGGACTGCGCCTGCAGATGGGCTGTTGACATTTGAGCTGCTGAAGGTCACCTGGATGTTTTTAAATCCTGGCAGTGTCCAGCGACCAACACAGTTACATGCGTGTGTGGCAGGCAAGGAGCAGCACGAGCAGTCACTGAGCAGTCACTGAGCAGTGCACAGGCATCAAGCCAGCCCGGCCGTGTCAGGGCAAGGAGGGGGCTGCACGTCCCCAAGGCTGGCCCCAGCACTGCAAGAGTGGCACCTGAGGCTTTGCCAAAAAAAGAGCTGAATCCATCCAGTTTTAGGAAGAAAAAAGGACACCACTGCGTCTGTGGCACTGCCAGCAGGATGAACACGAACTGCTGAGAGTCAGTTCTGCTTTTAATTTCTCTGTTCCCCCTAACTGCATTTAGCCCTGATGAGGGGGATGTGGGCAGCTGCTGAGGGGCCAGAGGCTGCAGCCAGGCTCTCCTGTCCTGCACCGGCACCTCCCTTCGGACATCCAGCCCCACTGCAGCACATTTAACCCATGTCAGACCACACACCAGACCTGAAACTCCAAACGACTCCCACGGAGTCTCAGGCGCAACTCTGGCAAAGGGAACGCAGAAACCTCAGCTGGAGCCTGCCCTGGCAGCCCAAAAATCCTCCTTTCCACAGCAGTGACCAGCCAGTGCTCTCTGTATGGCTGCACTGGCCTCCCATGCTTCCCAGTGTGGAAGAGGCTGTAAATTACACATTCAGGAGGGGTTCATACACACGGAAAGCCCTGGAGTGAGGACTTTGATTCTACAAAGGCATTAACAGGTCCTGACAACTTATCCCATCATCGCTCTGTTTATTGATGCCACTGTCCAACATGAGATCCGACACCAGCGTCCCCACAGCACCTGTCGGCCAAGAGCTCATTGTGCACCAGGGAGCTGGTGTCACCGCCCCAGCCATGGCCCTGCCCTTGGGGTGCATCTCACCCAGCTACAGGAGCTGTGACGAGGAAAACCCAGGGCCACGGAGAACTGAGCAGCTGGAGGCGGGCACTCAAACCAACAGCCAGGAGGCTGACCCATGTCCCTGCCACTGTGACTACAGCCAGTTACATAGTGAGGGACCCTGGCAGCAAGTGCATGGGAGCTGGGAAGTCTCCCACAGGCAGCCCCAAGCCGGACAGGGCTTTTCTTGAAGCCAGCATGGGACTTGCTCCTCTGCCTGGGGCAAGAGTCCCAGTGCTCCTGCCACTGGGGAGTGTGCAGATGATGCCACTGGCATGGGCAAGAGCAGCCTGCTTGCTACACTGTGTGTCAAAGAGAGAAAAGCAGTTAAACATGTCAAGGTCTTGTGCCCAGGTACATTGTGACCCCACAGCAAGCCCTGCAGCTCCTGCATCTCTATGCCTTTGGTGCAGCTCCTGTGGCAGCAGGAGGGCTGGGCACCTGGATTGCCGCTCGCTAGAGAGGCATCTGCTGCTGTGGAAGGATTAAGTGCTAGAAATGAGCGTTTGGAGGAGCCTGGCTTGATGAGGTCCTACCAGAAAAAGGTTCTTTTACTGCAACTAGTATTTTATTCTATTATATAACTCAGGAGTGCATCACAGCCTCAAGAGCCAGGCAGGTACCTATCAGTGCTTCCGATCTAGACACATAGAGAACTTCCTCATCATCTGGATCTATTTATTACTCACCTCCCTCTGGCCGGGAGCTCCTTGTCTCCATGCGCTGCTGAGCAGCTGTCGCGTCCAGCCCGGAAAGCTGGGACGAGGCAGTATCTCTGCAGAGCTCCTGGACAAAAAGTGACTGTGCCAGAATCAGCCTACAGAGCATTTAAAAAAACAAAAAAAAGAAGGGGGGAAAAAAAATCCTCTTGGCCATCCTAAGTTTGCTTATCAAAAAAAAAACCCAACAACTTCCTCCACATTTATTAGAAAACCAAACAGTAGATTTAAAAAGCAGTTAAAGAGTCCTACTCCGGCAAAACACCCTGTACAGGTTTGTTTTTGTTGGTGGTTTGCTTGCCTTTCTGTTTTTTTCTGATGGTGAGGATTCCCCCTAAATCAGCTGCTTCTGTTAATTTTATATATATATTTAATCTTTTAACTTTGCCGCGCATCACTTGCTTTAATTCATTAATTTATTTCCAATCAGCCTAGCCGTCTCCACCAGAGCAGCGGCGCTACCACACAAAGCTTCCTTGATGTCCATGCCCTGAGCTGGGGGAAGGGAGATGGAGGGAAGGAGGGAGAGATGAGCAGAGGAGGAGGGGGAAGGCTGGAGGGAGGGAAGTAGGGAGGGAGAGAGGGAGGGAAGAAAGGGAGGGAGAGGAAGCCATCAGCAGCCCCTCACTCTCCCATGTGCGTCCTCAGGTGGTACTTGAGGGACCACTTGGTGCACTCAGTGCAGGGGTAGGGCCGCTCGCCAGTGTGCGCCCGCTGGTGCTCCAGGAGGTGATGCTTCTGGGTGAAGTTCTTGCCACACTCTGTGCAGTGGTAGGGCCGCTCACCCGTGTGGATGCGTTGGTGCTCCAGGAGGTGGTGCTTGCGGATGAAGCCCTTCCCGCAGACGGCGCAGGCATGCGGGCGCTCCCGGGTGTGGATGCGGTAATGGTTGGTGAGCTTGGACTTCTCGCTGAAGGTCTTCTCGCACTGGCTGCACTGGTAGGGCCGCTCGCCGGTGTGAGTCCGCTGGTGCCGCAGGAGGTGGGAGGGCCTGGTGAAGTTCTTCCCACACTGGGGACAGAGGAAGGCCATCTCGCTTTTGCCAGCATGGATCCTCTGGTGCATGATGAGGCTGATCTGCAAGCGGAAGGGCCGC